GGTCCCGGCGACAGGGCGCGATGTGACATGGCCGCACACCGCGCCATTAGCGGATGTATTATAGTGCGCGAGGGGGCCCGGTGTGTCGCCCGTAGCGGTTCCCGTGCCTCCTCGATCGCAACAGGGACGGTCATCGTGGAGGTTTTAGTCGGTTGGAGTCCGACACTACCAGGCCGTTTTCCCCCAAAAGCAGCCTGGTGTCCGTGCGGATTTCCTCCACGTAAAAAAAAAAAGATCATGATCTATACAACGCATTGTATTACGATCAAGCTTCGATTGTTTCGATTTGTAATCTATTTACTACGTAAAATTAAAAAACCATAGAATCTCTAACACTGGTATTACATTTCCATGGTACAACTTTTTCATTATTTCATTTGTTTATAAAACAACGTAGACATCACCGCAAAGGAAAAATATTGCGTCATAAAATGAAATAATTCGTGAAACATGATCGCGATGACAGTATTACTAATTTCCTTATCGAAATTTAATACCTTTAATATGCAAACTAAATATATTACATTCGAAAGCGACACAAAATAATATAAAATTCAAATAAGAAAAATCTCGAGGCCCTGGACCACGTCCAGGAGTAGATCTTCGTTCCTTTCCTTGACCATCTTGGCGGTGGGCGCGCACGTCCCACCCTCGGAGCCGTCCAGGAACTCCTCGAACGTTACCCATCCGCAGTTGGGCAACACGTACACGCCCATCCCCACCATTCCTGCCCACTCGACCGCGACGTACCCGTTGCCGCGCTCCAGCGGGCCCCCGTGGGCGGGTGCTTCCAGCACTGATGCCCAGGTGACGGCGACTATTTCGTCCGTATCTCTGGTCCAGTCCGGAGCGTCCAGCACCCTATACGATCCACCACCGCTAGGGCGACTGCGTTCTCCCTGATAGTTTGAAAGAGAAGGTCTTGCACCCTTCTTGACCGTCCCATCGTACCTAAGAGGTTAATCTTTCAAAACTATTCTATATATCATCTATATGTCAAGCCTAATTTCACAATTTATGGTCAATGGTCGAATAAACAACACGTATATACATCTTCTAAACGTATCTTTATTTATTCTTTAGTCTCCTAAAAATTAAATTATAATTAATTCAAATTATATTGCATTACGTATTACCTGTTATATCATTTTATACTCTCTTTTAATTCCTTTTTTACCTATGTCAACTTCCACGCGTCTAACTTACGATCTTTATACATGTTTGACGATTTTCACAAAGTTAACCCATGTTTCGATAAACTCCCACGCTAAATCAACATCGTTATTACGTTTTCTTCTCCATCTTTCGCAGCTCCAGATTAGATACGCGTTTATTTCATTTACGCATCTTTATTACACACCTCGTCCTTTCACCCTATACTTCAACGTTTTTATCACTACCTGCTTTACGCAAAACGCTTTTCAAACACTTTCATTGACGCTTTCATTTACACGTTCTTATTTACACATTCACGCTACTTCTCCCTGCTACTTCTTACTTTATTTCACACTTTTTCTTCCACGCTTGCACGCAGCCAACGAGGTATTCAAGAGATTTCTCATTGTCAGCGATAAAACAAGCTGTTTTCCTTCTTCTCGTTGGTCCTCCCGCTGCTCCTCGTCGTTATTCCACTTGCCACAGCCCACTTCTCCAGATAGATCGTCCAAACATGCTCGCCGCCAATTTATACTAAAGGAAACAAACCGGCATAACTTATAACCTATGATATGACACCTAGAATTACCTTTCGCCTATTATATTTATCTTAACCCTTTTATGGCTATATCAACCTGCGATAGACATACCCTTATGCTAAACTTCCAGATACGAAAATATCTTACACAGTCTCCACCATGCGAAAGATTTCGCAACTATCAAAAATACGCTCGTAAGACAGCCGAGAGTCACCGCGGACAAGATATCAGTCATGAAATACGTAGAGCTCAGATCGTCCATCACTCCCCGTTTACAATAAACTATTCTGGTACTTTCGAAATTTAAATTTAACCCGTATAAAAGTATAACGTATCGTCCTTGTTCTATCCTATCGCGACGACATAGTCTTATTTCCCTATGGTCTTCCATATAGTTTTAGCAGAGCTACTACTATCCCCTAACTAGACCCTTAGGGAAGTGAAACTTTGAAAAATTATAAGCAGCAAGTATGTAATTACAGTAGCCAGTAAAATTCGAAATAAGTGTAAATCTAAGATATTACATTCTTACATTCTATAATATTCTTCCATGTAAAAAAGAAACTAACTTTTCCTCGTATAATTATATTTCACGATTTTATATATATATATATACACTTGCGTGTCAATGTTCATACATTGATCGGTATTTGTATTTATATAGTATTACAGCTTGAAATTCACGCGTTGCATATAACGGTTATCGTTTAAACTTTTGAAAAATTAAAGTTGACATCAAGAATTAATAAATAATTGTATGTAGTTTTTTGTACACTGATACGCTAATTCTGCAACGTTCGATATTATTTTGTAAAGGGGAGAAAAATGTTTAAAAAGTATGTATGATGTTTTGTCTCTTATAAGAACATAACCTTTTTCTAACAATAATAATATAATGATATTGCTTGCTATATCTTATTAGATTCGACGAAAAAGATAGTGTTTCTGGTATACAACAATTGAAATCATCGGTTCAAAAAGGAATTCGTTCGAAGCTTTTGGAGCTTTATCCTCACTTAGACGGTCATATAGATGCTATCGTTCCAAAGAAAGATGCTTTTCGAATTATAAAATGGTAAGCTATCTCAAAAGTAATGGATTTTATGTTTAGTATTAGGTGATTTTGTTTATGTTTATTTTGTGATTAGTCACGACCATATAGAGATTATAGTAAATGCGGCAGGAGATCTTTTGTTCTTTCGTCAACGTGAAGGACCTTGGATGCCTACTTTAAGATTGTTACACAAATGTAAGCAATATCTTCCTACGATAAATAGGACAAAACAAAGTTTGATTAATAGAAAGTTAATTTCAAACAAAATATTGTTGTATTTTACAATTTATTTTGCTTCGACACAAAATTTAAACATTCTAGACCCATTTTTTTTACCAATGGAACAAGTTGATAAAGGTGCTATCAGGTTTGTTCTTAGTGGAGCTAACATTATGTGTCCTGGTTTAACGTCGAAAGGTGCAAAGATGACACCCGTAGAAAAGGGAACAGTCGTTGTATCCTTTGTTGAAATAACTAGAATGAGCTTGTTTACCAATTTCCAAAATTAATTGAGCATATTAAATTCTTAACTTGAAATATAGGCTGTTATGGCAGAGGGCAAGCAACATGCTTTAGCTGTGGGTGTTACTACATTGTCAACAGATGATATGTAAGTAAAAGAAACCTAGTATAGAATATGTGAAAAATATGAAGACTGCTCTGTGCGTTTTAACAATGTAATTTACAGAGTTAAGGTGAACAAAGGAATAGGCATAGAAAATTGTCATTACTTAAACGACGGACTTTGGCAAATGAAATCTGTGAAATAGAAGACTGATGTACATTGCCCAAGGTGTATTATACGGATATATTGATTGTTGTATGAATGCACTTTGTAACATTTTTGAAGATGAGATGTGCTGTGAAGTGATAATTCCAATTACGAAATTACTCTCATAAATAAAAAAGAAAAATTGTCAATGCATCTTTATTGTACAAACTGAATGTATATGACAAATTTATTATAACTGTTTAAATGCATCGATATTATTTAAATGTAATTTTACAATTTACATAAAATCAAGAGAAATCTATAAGGGAATAGATAGAATAGTATACGGTTATAAAAAATAATTAACCAGATCCTGATTTAATATCTGCTTGGCCTTCTTGATTTTCCGAAGGAACGGAACGTTCATTTTCACAATGTCCCGATGCTGGAGAGTAAGATGAATTACTAGCATCGGAAGTTGGTGCGGAAGCATTGCTTGAACCCGGTACGTTGTTATTAGTAGTATTATTTTCGCCAACGGCATGAGGAGATTGTGGATGGTAATGAGGACTGTGCGGGCTGTGAGGACCATGGGCGTGAGGACGGCCCATAGTATGTGGTGAATACTGCGAATATGGTTGATGGTAATACGGATGTGCGTATTGAGGATATGGTTGATGATATGGTTGTTGTTGAGAATAAGCATAGGATGGATGAGGAGGTCTTGGAGCTAGTGGAACATTTTGAGCCTGCTGAGTAGGTCCTGGTTGATATTGCTGACTGTAACCTTGATTCGGTGGAATCATTTGCGGTGTATGTGGATTAGAAACTGGTCCTTGAGGTGGAAGCACCTGTGTCCCCTGGGTTCCTTGATGAGGCGGTATCGAGTGATTAGCTAACATTCCTTGTTGATGAGGATTATGTTGTATAGGAGGAGCTGGCGAAGAAACAGGAGGCATATTCGGCGTATTTGCAGCTGCATTTGCATTTGCATTTGCAGGTGCATTAGTGTTAGCAGAAACTGCTGCTGTAGTAGTAGTAGTAGCAGCAGTAGTAGTGGTAGCAGTAGTGGTAGTAGTAGTAATAGTAGGTTGCTGTGATTGTAAAGAAGATGGTTGTGATTGTTGCGTCGGTGGCTGCTGTTGTTGTGGATGCTGTTGATGTTGAGTTGGTGGTGGTGGTGGCGGTTGCTGTTGATGTTGAATTGGTGGTGGTTGTTGATGATGTTGAGTTGGTGGTGGTGGTTGCTGTTGTGATTGCGGTTGTGAAGATGGTGGTGGTGGTTGTTGTTGTTGCTGCTGCTGTTGTGCTGTTGGTGGTGGTGGTGGTGGTGGCGGCGGCGGAGTTTGTTGTTGTTGCTGCTGCTGCTGTAGTGGACTAATAGTTCCACTGTACATTCCAGAATTAGATGTATGTTGATTAGAATTTCCTTGAGCTGATGAAGGTTCTGCTTTATTTTCAGTATATGGTGGTGAGGATGTTTCCTTTTTAATTTCATTATTAAGTTTTTCAGTTCCATTTGTCTTTTTATCTATCGCATCATGATCAGGAACCTACAAGAAAATAGCAATGCGTAACGATACTTGTGCATCAATAATAACAATTGTTACAGATAATACTTACATCGGATGGTGTTTCATCGTTAATAGGAGCAGGAGTTGGAGTAGGAGTAGAATTTGGAGTTGATTCACTGGATGCAGGTCCATCCGAGCGATTTTCTTCTGCACCTTTTAATCTATCTCGCCTAAGTGCTTCGTATTGTCGTTCTACCATCTTATTGAATGTTTCTTCATCTACAGCTGGTTTACAATGCTAAAAGAGGCATGTTTGACTTCGGTATTTGAATAATTATCAAATACTAATTAATGGAACATATCTTATTAAAAATGATAACCTACTTTCTTCAATTCTTCTTGAAATATTTCGCTTGTCTCGATAAATTTACGTTTCTTTGCTTCAAATTTTTCTTCTATTTGTTGTAATTCAGCTTCGAGTTTTTTCTGTAACATGTAATGCCATGATATAGTAGTTAAAATAATATATATTATATTAATATAATTAAAAATTAACTTCTTTTTTATCATATATATATACCTGATGCATTGTTAAAGATTGTACTTGACGGCGTAATACTTGCATTCGTTGTGTAGTAACAACTGAGCGAACATCCGGCACTACAGTATCACTAAATATCTCGTTAATAAGACGATGGTTTCGAGTATATCGAGAGTACGCAACGTGTTTTACGGAATATCCATCATCTTGATCTGCAAAATAAAAAAATCATTTATATAACTTTTACTTGTCCGAATTATATAAATTTATATACCATCATCATCTTCTGCAGGTAAAATATCTATTCTTCTATCTTGCGCTGCTTGTCCTTTGGTACTGCCTGAAGAACGTTCATGACTTTCTCGATCATCATTATTTTGTTGTGCAGCGCATAATGCTATGATAAAAATAACGATATATTGTACTAAGAATGTAATATAAATAAGTAATGTACTTATTTACTTACTAATGTAAAATATTTACCAGATTTTCCTCTATTTTTAGCTGCGATGTAAGCTAAGTACGCAGGCGAATTGTGATAAGTTTTTAAACTTTTCTCATATTCAACCTATTGAAATTCAAGTAGTATTAATATCTAGTTTTACAGTTGTATAAAAATAGTACCCATATATATGATTTTTACCTTTTCAGCTTCATATTCTTCGATAAACTCTGTTTTATCCTCCTCTGGTAAATCTCTCCACATCTGTCCAATAATCTTTCCTATTTCCCATAATTTTAATTCTGGATTTTGAGCTTTCACTTGATCCCAAACTTTTCTACTATATCTCATATAAGGCATAAGAGGTTTTTCTGGTGGCTTGGGTGGTTTGGGCATACGAGAATCAGCCTACTCGATATTAGCATAAAATAAAATTTTGACAGATTTACAAAAGAAGTGTTACAATTTCAACATGATTTTTTTATGAAATATTTATATTATATATTTAAAAGGTACGTACGTTTGTATTTTTCCCAACTTTTTGTGGTGTAAATCCTGGATGACTATGAGGCGTTTGAATGAATGGGCTTTGTGCATCTTTCTATAGATTGTTATAAAAATTAGCTTTACATTTTGAAACTTGTATAAGCTTATTTACATAAGAAATTTACTTACGCTATTAGTTGAACTACTGCTACTTCCACCAGAAGCTCTGAGTCTTTCTGAAATGTAGTTAATATATATATATAACTTTTTTCTTTTTCTTTTTTTAATACGTACAGATTAAAAAGGAAAAACGGTATTTGATATAATTAAACAATTTAAGGTTAACAACACTTACGATTAGATGCAACAATATTTGAAGTAGCCATTGCCACTTGCTTATAGTTTGGAGGTAAAGCCATTTTGTACGTCAATGAGTCTTATTTTCTTAAAGGTATAACGAACACGCTCAATAACGTATAAATATTATTATCATTTGTATCGTTTGTGATAAAAAAAGAATTGTAGCGTGTTCCGAATTTCAAGAGATTCACTCAATCATATTGCTGTGACATCACAATTGTAGACAACGCTTCTTATACCGCGATAGAAATATCTTTTTTTTTTCTAGCCTTAAACCAAAATTGTAAAGTTTGTCGAACGAGTCGAGTGAGTTGTAGGGAACGAGAATGATCACGTGATGTATTGCAACGGGTTCAACCATTGGCTACTAATTGTTAGTTAATTGCTGATGTTCATAAACAATTTCGCATTACTGTAGTAAACTTATCAAATTAATATCTTAATTTCCACTTTGTATTGACCAATCTTCACTTAAGAGATTAACGTCTTAAAAAAATTGATTTCACATGGTGGAAGAATTAGGCACTATGTCCCTAGTTTATTTTTCGCTAACTTGTACATAGAATTCTTAAATAACCAATACTTTTCAATAACTTTTAACATCTGCTATGGTGCAGATATTACCTCGTAATTATTAATTTGATCTTATTTACGACCAATTTATGACGGTGATCTTCTTATAATTGTACATCAATGCTTATAACAGTTTATAATAATTTATATTACTACCAACTTGTTAAAACCACTAAATATATGTCACTACAGTTGTAAGTTAAGCCTAATTTTTCTAGTTCTCATAATTCGTTGACAAACGAAAGCAGATATTTAATATCGTATTTATTCTATATTCGCGAGAATGCCATCATTATTTCTATCAGCCTTGAAAATTAGTTTTACGGAGTGTCATCGATAAGTACGCGTTACATTTATACGTGTATTATAATCTGTGATCATCGATATTTCACTTACTTATACTCGTTATTTCCGGTTTATTCACTCGAATTCGCAAACAGTATTTCGAGTTATTGCAACAAGTAAAATATTTATTTACAAATGCGTATACATATATTGAATAATATACTGACTTATGTACATGCTCTTATAAAGAATTCTTAATGATTATATTTTACTGGTTTTAATGTAATATTTATAAGTTACTTATTCGGACATTTACAAAAATTATTTTCGATTAAAACAAGTATTGATTTCAAAGAATACATTATAGATTTTGTTTCCCTTTCAAATCGATGCATTGTTGGTATAGCATATATGGCAATGCTTAATATTTAGTTTTGATTCATTTTATATTGCAACATATATGCATTATTGCAATTCTATATGTGAAAGCATAAAGAATATAGGAGATTTTAAGTTATTTTTTACATTATGAAAGCAATACATATGATGGCAGTGAGCAAATTGGCAGTGTTAATCATTTTTTTCCAAAAATAAATTAGGGTAAAATCTTAAAGCTTCTATCGTGTCGTCTCTACATGCTTTTCCTCTTTTTTCCGTTACTAACAGTCTTTCGCGCGCTAAAAGGACTGATATACCCTCTGATTGAGCAAGTTCTTCTGCTGTTAGAGATCCTCTTTCTTTTATCTGTAAAAAATAAATAAAGTTAAGTTTTATACAAAAACTGTTCGGACGTATTTACTTACTAGATCAGCTATAACATCAACTATGACATTATCATCGTGCGATCGAGACTGAAGAACCATAACTCCGCTATCAAACACTCTCAATACTATAGGTAAACCTAAAGATGCTAATTGTCTACTGGCATTTAGTAAATCTTCTGGTGAAAGAAGTTCTAAGCCTCTAGCTCTGTTTACACGACAATAAACATCTGTTAATGTTATCATTCCCCCAACTTCCTGTGGAATGAAATTACTTAAATATTTATCATGTATTATAAATTTAGTAACGATTACTAGGAATATTAACTTTAATTGGCTCTTCTAAAATATTTGCAAGTTGTTTTGCCAATTGCTTGAAATATTCGTTACTACTTTTATACGCATCTCTGGTAACAGGGTCATCAATGCCAAGACTCATTAAATAGGACTTAAATCTAACCGTTTCATCCTCTGTGATGTCTCCTTGTCTCTCCTGCAATGGTCTTTGATTATGAATGTCAATTTTACAAAGTAATCTTGTTGAGATTCACCCGTATTTTTGCCGAGATGGTTTTTGAAATGGAAACCATGTCTTTGGCTACTTCCATGAGCTTCTTAAGATCTTGAAAAGCCATTGATATGCTTTCGTCTGTTGCTTTCTGTTGTTCCTGAAGGCTTCTTTCAATACCTATGATACCGGTTCGTGTCTTTATTTGCGGCGGAGGCTTATTAATGTCTCTGCTATTTTTTGTGTTGCTATCAGGATGTTCCAGAGGCACGATAGGTGTAAATTCCCAAATTCGTCTCGTAATAGCATCGGACAAATGTGTATGAAAATTTGGATCCAAACCTTCTTTAAACGAGAATTTAATATAGTTGCATACGCTATTATCCAATGGGCCAGGCATTTTATCTGTAAAGCAAAATGTAGTATTAGCATTATTACGTAGCTTGATTTACAAATATATTTTTTCACTAATTATAATATACCGATTGGAGCTTCAGAAAGGTGTATAACAACTTTTTTACTGCGTCCAAAGGAAAATGGTCCAGGAATTTCTTCCTCGAAGAAAACTATATGACGAAGAGATAACGAAAGGCATGTATGACCGCGTGATATATCACCAGGTCTTCCCCAAAGAAATCTGTGGCTGGTAAGTACTAATTCACCACTTTCAAAATTTGTCTGTCAAAAAGTTGAAGGTTATGTTTTACTTTGATGTTACGATTAATATACATACCTTGATATCTCCATCGTATATGCATATGCTAACATCGCGTCTTATATAAATTTCATTCGGAAGAAGTCGAGAATCAGCGTATTCAAATCTATTCATTATTTCTGAAGATTAAGATGCAAAATCAAGAGTGTTACAAAGACACGTAGAAAACAGTTTATCTCGGGCATAAACTGTCTTACTGGCAATTTTGACGTATTCTAACCGCAAGATGTCCTTCGATTTCGTTACAATTTATCTTCACTCTAACGCTAAATCGTTGATATATTTTATGTTCTGTTTATCTACGCGTTTTCTAATAGCAGTAATGTAATAATTGATTTTATTTTGTAAGCTTTTTGCTGTCGATTATGTAATTAGTACTAACAATTGCAATTTTATGTAATTTAAAATATCAACTTCATTTTAAGTAATTTAAAGATTGAAATTGGGATAACTTGCAAAATTATATATGGATATATAGACAAAAATTTATACAGGAATTCAAGGTGATAATCACGAAATAGATGACATTAGTTGTTACTTTAAATATATTTGTTTGGAATTTATTCAGTAAACGAATCGTGTAAATAGAATCGCAACCATGATTAACAATGATCATGTATGTATAGTTAATAGTACGTGATTTTCCGTGTACTTGTTACATTACACGATTGTGTATAGTGATTAACCTTTTCATTTGTAATATATTTTTTTCACAGATTTTAGCGTAAGGTTGTTTTTCGTTTGTTTATAATTAATATAGCATAATGTAATGTGTAACAATACACGTTATACCTTTCACAAGCACAAGCTCGAACGTACCTTACCTTAAGGGATATGTTACTATTATTAAAATTAATAATTTTAAATCTATACAAATTTCCATATACATTTTCCGCTCAATGAATCTATACTTTTAAATATTTCGTACTTTTAAATGTAACATGAAGAGATCGTAAAAACTGAAAAGCAAAATTACATACACTATCAAATTGAACTATTTAATGATATATGAGTAATTTATTTTTAGATTTCGTTTAGAAACAAGTAATTGTAGGCAGAATAAATCAAAATTACTTTATCGGAATTGATTTTGTTAAGTTTTCGTTTACATTCGTTCTGTTTACTCTTCTATTGTAAATTGAATAATAGCAAATAAAAAGATTTTTCCAACATACGGGGAGAATTAACTTTATCACGAGAAATAGATTTCTCTTTAGATTCTTAATTAATTTGTTTGTAACTGTTCTTTCCTTAACATCGATAAAACAATAATTATTAAAATTATTAGTAAATTAAAACATTTATTGGTATGGATCGTTGAAAATCATTACCAATACTTCATATATGGTTATTTTAAACGATGCAGCGTCTGTCGAAGTACATAAACGCTTTAACAATTCCCTTAAGTTCATTTAAGCAGGATAGCGTCAGCAACTTGCTTGAATATTTTTATAATCGTTTAAATTTGCACGGTTTTTGATTCGGTTTTTGAATCTGGCGACGGTACGCACGAGCATAATCCGAAATGTAATTAGGAAGGGCTTGGCAAGGATTGTTCTTCATAAAGTTTCACCTTAGTCGATAAGATACAAAGACCAATGCATATACAGGGTGAGGTGAATGTGCCCTTATTATATCACAGAGAGGCGTAACAAAAATATAAAACAATTTAAACTTTATAGTATTTTTGTATGAATCATATACGCTCATGCAACGGCTACGCGTTGCGATTCGTCCTACAATTCTGATCGCGATTTCTAAATTATAAGGCATCGTAATTCCTTTTCTCACGAATCCTGATTTTCTGATTAATCAAAATTTTATACGTGATTAACGATACAATATCTAGAATATAAATCAAGAATATCCTAAAGAACGTAAGATACGAGTGAAACAGCTGTGCCACGAGAAGATATTATTATATCGGTGTGGTAAAATAAATGATAACGTTTATACAAACATAGAATGTTTCAAGATAGAACATTCTGTGTATAGAACTGATTAACAATATAAAATATTGAATTGAACTCGCGCGTAATTAAGCAAGAGTATAAGAAAGTACTCTTTGAATATAACCAATAAAACTTATTTAAGACATACATACAAATATGCATATCGACGAATTCTATTATTTAGGTGGTTAACTGTATCGTTTGCAGTACGAATCGCATTGGCATTATTATTGTCATCATCACTCCTTTTTCCCTTCTTTTCCCTATTCGATGATCGTTCGTTCTCATCTTATCTTTCACGCTATTCTTTCCTCGCGTTCTCTTTACATTCTCTCGTTTGTTCACGTTCTCTCACTTCCATTTTCTCTTGTCTCTTGCATGCTCCTTTCTTTCCTTCTCTCTCTCTCTCTCTCTCTGTCCCCCCACCCCTCTCGCGCTTCCGCACCAACTCTACGCTCGCTCTCTTTTATTCTCGTTCGCTCTGTTTCTCTTAATTTCGTCTATAGCTAGCCCCTGACAAAACTAAATTCTGGTAAACGAGAAGCAAGCTATTGAATGCCTTCAATATTGTTCTCTCCCTGTCTCATCGTTCTGCGCCATACGTTCAATGTATTCCAGTTTTTAACAGTAAAACTTAGTAATACGTATCCGTAACATATGCGTACACGGACGCAGACAGACGTACGTGAACAATTCCACTTACGCGTGTGTGCGGGCGCGTGTGCGCCACGTTGGTATTAAGAATAAAAGATCAGTTTTGTGCTGATATACAACAGTGTTTTGAATGGTAATTTCACTTACATGTATACAGATTATACATACGTACTACGTACGGTTTCATGAGTACAAAGTGGAACGCGAGGACGATCCAATTGATTTAGTTTCGTCGCATCGGGTCATTTTCTTCCATTCTTTTCTTTCTCGTTTTTCTCTTCCGTCTTTTTTTTTCATTAAGAGCTATCTACGAGGTGTATTTGAAGGAAAAGAAGAATCGATTGATTTGACTGGATCTGGATCGAACTTGTGATCTAAAATTTCCCTTTATCCGCGAATACTCTCTCTTGATTTTGTACAATTTTTTGAATTTTGAAGAATGAAGAAATACTCGATATTTCGTGAATCGATTGTTGATAGTTGATTTCATCGGCATTAAAAATCGTTCAAGTTTCGATCGAGGTATGCACGTAATAATTAATCACAATCGTTCTCGCTGACCACTTTGTATGAAACGATGCAGAGATACATATCGTTCACGATGGATAATTTACAAATATAGTTATGGAGTTAATGAGAGTTCAGCGATATTAGTCCCATAGTAAGTTAGCGATAGAAAATATCCTGAATAAGTTCATAAGTATGGATTTAAATAGTCGGCAATTTATGACAAAAAATGTATAATATAGAGTGTAAAATTCTCTCGTAATGTAACTATACATATATATAGATGTTGTATATGTATATATACACGTGGCGTATGAGTAATGTGTACGTGTAATACGAAGAGTTAGGTTTGTTAAATTTTATCGTGTACGAAGAGGTACAAAATTTATAGGTATAGAATAGACTATGAGGTCCGAAAGGCTATCTAATTCGTTCGATTTGCGTTAACGATCCCGTTAGTCGAAGTATCGCGTGGTTATCCATTTCTGTCGGATCTATAAACGTATCGTTAATTATAAATTAAGATTTCCATGAACATTCTTCTGTATTTCGAACAGCACGCATCATCCAATCACGATGATAATATCAATTAATACTAACGACGAAGAAAATTATTTTAATAAAATATGCATTTTTCATGTCAAATCACAAGAATAATTGTTTTCGTACCTTCTCCTAATTTCAATGACATTCCGCACAAATAATTCCGACCAAATGATAACGCGTCCAATTATATCAAGGAATAATCGAGTATTATCGTAACCTCGAACGTTCGATGGAATTGTAATGGTGCAAATTTTGTAGGATTAAGTCGACGTAAGATATCTTCTATGAACTGTACCGTGTACGTATAAACAACCGGCAACAGATTTGCATCGACCAAGCATTGCTTGAAGATGGTGTAATTCGGTCATGTGCCAAGTACTGTCACGAACAGGAAAGAGGAGAAAGGAATCCAGGTTAACCATTTGATCGTCGAAATGAAATAACAAAAAGAGATGGATAGACTCTCCGAGAAGAAAGAAGGAACAGAAGAAGAAGAAGAGGAAGAAGAAGAAGAAGAAGAAGAAGAAATATGAAAAGGATGATCGTTGGTCGTTAGAGAAGAGAAGAATATAATCAAGAATTGCGATCAATCGTCCACGTTTGGAAAAGAATGCTCTGCACGTCGAGTACGTCGTTAATAAACTCTGTACAAACATTAACAGTTCATTGGGAACAACAACATTTACATCTTGATAAAACCCTGAAACAGAGCTTCCATCGTTCATAAATTTTTCAACGTCGCAATGAATCTTTTAATTGCGGCGCAACATTTCTTGTTTCTTTTACTTGCTCTTTTTTTTCTTTTTTTTTTCTTCAATTTCTTTTATTCCTCTGTAACTATGTAGCCAGTCATTCAATGAACAACGAGCAAGATTACAACGATACGCCAGAATAGAGGCGCGAAAAAAAAAAAAGAAAAGAAAACATGTTTTCTTTTTTTTTACAAGTATCGTACAAAAACTAATAAATAATCCTGGCGTTAAAGAACACGATGATTATCCGACGTGGAAAAGGGTAATTTTTCTCTCTCGAAAAAGAAACAAACTGTATTCTAACTAATATCAACATAGGTACATACGGAATACATTCAGAAGATGTCTCCGATGGACATTTCTTTATACACGTAAGGAAGGTTCGATTAAGCTTTTCTAAAATGTATCGGTTTATACGTGTATTCCTTTGCAAAGGAAAAGAAACTGAGAAAGAAGAGGAGAACACATTTTTTAATGCCATCGCTAATTCGTACGGGTTGGTTTGTGCATAATTTCCTATGCAATTTGATGTTTAATTCACAAAGGCAAAAAGGATATTCCTTGGCTCTGACATTCGCCGGCCGTATACGATATCTCGATACAAATATTTGAGCCTCGTAGCGAGAATCTAGCGGTCTCGTCACAAAGTTCGTTCGAACCTTCCTCGTGGAGGGACACACGGTATGGAGAACGATGTGGATCCATTTAGAACCTACAGCGATTTGTGCTTGACGATGACTTTTGATATCGATATATCAGTCTGAAATGATTGATATCAGCTCCGTGTTACATCCCGATTCATTCTCACGTTTCTTACAATTTTGCTTGTTTATCTTCCATTTTAACGGTAACCTTGTGTCGTGATTCACGTTGGAGCAAATCGCGTGAGCTTTCATCACGGAGCCGTCAATACGAATCTTATCATTAGACGAAACAACATATCATGTACATCCATTTAGTACATGTACAATAGGATACGAGTTTGACATTGAGAATTTTATACCATCAAATCGAAAACGATGAATTGTAGATTTTGTTGAATTGTCATGTTTCTGCTTGGAACGTGTCGCCACACGTTTACGAGTTTGCTTCCTCGTTAGAGCATAGAGGAGAACGGTTAAAGAGAGAAAGCTGGACATTCGGTAAAATACTTACAAGTAATCGTAACGTGAATAGAAAAATCTTTCGCATTGAGGCCTTAAGTTTGTCAGCACCCTGTAAATTCACGAATTTATATACAATAAATCCAACGAATTGTACGTGATCGTTTCTTTCAGAGGTCAACAAAATCATCTAGGTTTCTCTCTTCTATATTCTTTTTGTTAATGAAAATAGACTATTAATTAATACTGCATATTATTGGGTTATTCTAAAAGATCACGCAGTTTCGAACGGTCTATTTTAAAAAAACGTAACTTCATTTCCTTCTCAAGCTTCTTTCTCTTGAATGGAAATATTCTCAAAAATAGGAAGACCTCGAAAATCGAAAATGCTTATCAGAATTCTCCTATTTGAAAGATTGAAATTTCTATATCGTAATTTGCAATGTTGCTCTAATTCCAAAGAAAATCGTTGAAGCATGGGAAAGTACCTAATGCCTTTTAAAAGTGAACGGCTGAAAACTCGGACGAATATCAGGATGACTCACTACAACATCGTGTCTACGTAATCCTACCGTTCTCCCAGTATACTTTAAATCCGTGCAGATTTTCGTTCTATTATATATTCGCTTTGCAACATCCTACGCGATCCTTTCATTTCCTGAGCGGATGCCACATAGCGACAGGGCGTCTTTGAGCAGCCAACATTTGTCGCCAATGGACGAATGCTCGTCCTGCTGACGTAGGTCCCACGATAACGTGTCCGACGGAGTACGGCTTCGAATTTACACCCTGTTCATTGTTTACTTCCGCCACAGTTAGCCTTATCTGTATGTTCTGAAATTAGATTGAAGAAATTAGCACGTCTTTCTCACAATACCTAACAAATTTTATAATTAAAAATTATTCGAAACCTGCAGAATATGACTGGGAACGTTAAAAATAATTGCCTCGTTGAAGATTGGACTTTCTTCTCCCTTTTTCACAGACGTCTTCTTCTTGTGGATCTTTTTGCCTTGTTGTAGCAAGTAAACCTTTGGAACATAGTAAATGCATCATTCAATGATTAATCAGTATCTATGGATCATACGTGATCACAATAATTTCAGTTAGCCTATTTGATTTTGAAAATGTTTAATTTATATAATATAATAAATCTTATCTTTCTTTTTTTGCGTTTATATGTATAGATTCTCAAGAGAACTATTTTGAAGGGGACAATGTACGCTTTTCATTAAATGACGTATGAACATTTTTACAGGGTCAGTCTCGTTACTTCTTAGACGCACCTCGGTGCGTACGTTGAGATTACAATGAGAAACAAGCACTTTATTACCTTAACGAAGAAATCACCGGGCACGGTACTGACACCATGTAAATTTCTAGCCTTAACAACCACCAGGGTGAGTCTTTCAGCCGTTTGCAAGTAGCTCAAAGAGAACATCAACTCTCCAAGTCTTGGCGTGGGCAAAGCTGATCCCAGAAGTGGTAACCACGTAGTTGCAGGTGCTCTTGAGGCGGGTCCTAGACGTAACCTAGCTTCTCCGATGAGGGATGTTCCATCACCTATACTGGTCTCGTCAGAAAATACCTTAAAAATTTCCCATGCAGATAATATCGCTTATCAAGCATTTTACATATTTCGAATTACTTTAATTAAAATAACATACTTCAACGAGAAGAGTCCTTCCAGTGGGACCATCGTCCAGGGGGAACAAAAAGTTTTCTTGATAACTAGGCGACGGACTGCCTCTATACAGCCGGGTTTTCACGTGTAATTGTCTATTCGGTAACAGACAAACTCTAAAAGAATAAATAAGTATCGACGGTTAATTTAACTATCCTTCTTTCTATGGTGGATATGTAATATTTAACCCTTTCATGTTTGACGCGTGTGCGCAATATTGCGCTTTACAAATTATTCGCTAACTAATAATTGGTTGTGCAATAATAAGCAATAATAATCGAGAAAAACAAATTTTTCACAAAATCTAAGAACTATTCGATCCTGAAACGGTTAAATTTAGATATTTCTACGATCTTTTGCCTGATATAATTCAATCCCGGACCTGGAAATTATTTCGTTCGTTGGATTATTAATCCAATCAATATCAAACGTAATAAGCTTGACGAAATGTTCAAACCTGGCAAAGGTATCTTGAGCAGGTTGTCCATCCGAGGTGACGAGATCTCTGGCTTCGAGAACGCTGACCGCGAGATCACCCTCGCTATCAGCACCTCGGCCACCCCATCTGTCGTACTGGACACCGACGCACACATGACCGACGATAGGTGCTTCTTCGAGATCGTTTAACACTACACTGGTATCCGAGCATACACTTTCGCAGCTTATTGCCCTTTTTAGGTTCGATTCATCCGGCGGTGGCTCCGGATCCGGGCCCTGAGGTCCACGACGACTTCCGGGATTGATGTCATTGTAATCGTTCATCGTGTAGTTTGTGACAAATGCCTGCGAATGAAATTATATTTAAATAACAGAAAATCAATATATCTGAAAGTGAAATTGTACCTGAGAGAACTTTCGCTTCAATTGCGCTTCCTCCAGTGCGACAAAAAAGTCGTGACTGTTTCGTTTTCTGTGAAATAAATTGGAGATTAATTTGCTTTTTAAGACAGATCGACCAAGTTATCGTATATCGAAGGCTACCTTAACGAGTCATCGTCATCGAGTTCGTTGAGTTCATGGATACCGTTCAATCTCTCCATACTTTTTTTTCTTTGCTCGATACTGTTTAAAATATCCTGAAAGTAAAATGATATATACGATGATACGATTCATCGAATAAAGTTTAAAATATAACCAAGATCGATACTATAGTCGTACCTCTGAGGTTCTCGTGAAGCTTGGGTCAGTCATATACGTGTAAACCTCTTGACTGTGATCTTTAACTAACAACGGCGACGACGGTGGATCTTGTAAACTATTGTACACCTAAAATCGTAAAGATTTAATACGATGATTAAAATTTTAATAATATTCTAACGTCCTCCTAGACGCGTACTACCTCTTGTGCAGTTCTATGTGCCTCTAAATTGAGTTCAGGACTGTAAAGATCGGAGCTACGCCTAGAGCCGTCAGGACCTATCACATCGGAATCGTTCTCCGCGTAAATATCTTGAACTTCATCGTGCAGTCTAGTAGTGGAGTTATCCTCCACCACCAACGACGGAGATCTCGATGGGAAGGTGAAACGTTGAACTTGTTGTGCCGAGGATACGACTGAGCTATAACAATCAAGAACAAAATTGTTAATATTTATTCGTACGAAAACTTCTTCTAGTTCTTTCCTTTCTTTTTTTCTTTTTTCTCTTCACAGAATGATCAATCTGACGTATACTTGTAAAATTCCGAGGCGTCGATGTAGCTGTGAGACGTGACCAATCTGAGAGCGTTGAATATTCTTTCGCCGGTTGTCTGGCCGTTCTTCTTTGGCACATCTTTCGGTGGGTCAGGTGGCGCGGGTGGCGGTGGTATCGGACTGGAAGCTACCTCACTGTTGACCTTCAACGCGTTGATCGATGTTTGAATCGTGTCATCGTAGAGTATGCGATCCTGATCTCGGTGGTGTCCGAGGTCGTTGATCGAGTCGTATATAGGAAGATCGGGTAAGCTCTGAATATATTGCGAGACCTTTTGCAACCCTTGATTCTCGCGAAACAGGTAGCACGGGCTGATATCGTCCTGAAGGCTGGAACTTGTAAAGGGCGTCATCTCGATGCTTTGCATCTCGTTGCTCTTACGATCGAGGTCGTTGCCGAGACTCTGAGTGCTGCGAAGCATCTTGGATAGTTCCTCGGATCCGTATATCGATCCCATGATAGTCTGGCTGGCGGCATTCGAAGAATTCGTCATATCGAAACTGCTTGGCGAGCTTCTCGAATCATTCCGGACATGTTGCCGTATTATGTGATTCCTTTGGACGATGTCGTAACTGCCGTAGCTCGTGTTGTTGTCCTCGTCCCCTTTCCCATCTAGCGTAGCTATAGGTACACCATGTACACCGTACCTAATTCTTGTCGATTCGAGGCCGGTATCGAATTGCCTGTAAGGATTGTGCCTATTCTGCTCTTTCCTCGGTTCTTCCTCGAATTCGTATCTCAATCTTGCGTCGATGTGATTTTGTGAGCCGTACGGTGTCATCTGAATATTTTCATTCGTCATGGTGTTCGGTTTCTCACCGTCGAATCTAAACGAACCGTGGTCGTTCGATGCTTGATGTAATGCATAATTTTTCATGGGCTCGTTCTGAAAAAGAAAGACCGACGGACCGTTCGACCTCGAAGGAATCGATGCTCTCTGCAACGATGGCGGCGGTGTCAGAGGTACCGGGCCAGCTTCCTGCATTCTCAGGTAGTCTACTGTGCTGGAGCTTTGAAGCGGAGATGGCCTTGGACGTGAAGTTGGCCTTGGTTGAGGTGCTGGTCTCAAAGGCTGCGGTGGTATGGTGCTGCCGGTAGCAGTGCCCAGAGGCGGATGAAGATCTCTATCTACCGGTTCGAATCTGCAAATATAGCAAGTTACGTCGTTTTGAGACGAACAACCTCTTACTCTTTCCTCCATTGTATGTTCTTCGTCGAAGCGTTTCTTTACTCTCTTCACGTTTTTTGCTTTATACACGAGTTTTTTTTTCGATCTGATTTTTATTTCTCTAAATATGATATTTTTATCACACTAATGATATCGAATCGCGCAGATATGTATCGTTTCGAATTCGGCGCATATATTAAGCCGAACTGTTCATTTGTCGAATATGAAATATTGACCGCGTGACGCGCTGCGAGATGCAGATTTGATTTCATATTTCGCAGAAGCGCGGTTTTGGCTCGTTGTCGTGTGAAATATTAGTAAACGAGTATCGATTGGCCGATTGCGTAGACATCGCACACTTACCGAAGAAAGGAAATTGCGTAATTTTCCCTTCGAATATAAATACTTTAACGATTGCTTCGAGCAAAGATTTATTTAATGTTCGTTGTATGAAACAACGAATGCACGAGGTGGTCGAATAACGTATAGCAACGACAATAATTAAGATTTAGTGCTTTTAATAACGACACTGTTATTCGATTGTAAGTTAGTCGAGCTATCGATGATTTTAGCTAATTATTTTCCCAGTGCTTGTTCCGGAAAAACTAATCGCTGTGTCATCAAGTGGTCGATCGCATCAAGCAAAATATAAGAAATACGCGAATACCGGCCTATCGCTTCGACAATGTCCTTGTGTCGTAATAAAATTAACGCGCGATGGCTCCGCCCTATCGTAATTTACACGGTGATTTCTTCCACGGTTCGGTTAACGATAAAATTCTATTTATTATCTGTCGTGGTTGTTTCGTCCTCGTCGAAGACATAATCGCTTTATCGGTTCACAATGCGCGATATGGCTTTTCATTAACCAACGTCCAGTGAATTAGTAATTTATTAGTAATCTAATCAGGAGTTGATTTCGCAGTTCGTTACCGCAATACCTGGTGAAAGCTCCTTGCGCGTCGAGTCTGAGGTCGCTGTCGCTGTGAAGCAAATGTTGAGATGCATTTCCAGGTTGTCGATATAAACCGGGAATTGTCTGGGCTATTGGATGTTGTGCTTTCACTAAACCAACCTGAAAAATCCATCGTAACGAATCGTCGGAAGTTGAACTTTTCGAGTGACAAATCTTAGGCGAATTTTTTATTTCCTTTTAAAGTTTCTATTTTCTTGGTTTTACCAAAGTGTACCTTTTCTTCTCGCGGCGCCCATAACCACGATAGCCTTTGTCGCCATTGCTCGCAGATGTTCCAAATGTTTCTAGCGCTCCATTGCCAGTTGATGCAATACCTGCGGACAATATTCCAAGCAATTGTTATTATTAGTAGCCTCGCTAAAATTACATTAGTATGTTTCGCGTTAGATATCCCTTATTTATTTATATGTGTGAAAATTGCCTTTACGGTTAGATATCGAGCTTTTGGACTACGGTATGGCAGTTGGATTATTACTGAAAAGGGTTGCCGGTGTTTCTAGTTAATCGACCGATTTTACATTATGACAAAAGTCGTCGTGAACCGATCGACCTACTTTTTTCACATTTTTCTCCTTCCTTTTTTAACGTTCGATATGCTAGTGAGAAAGGTGTTTGGTCATATGGAGCGCTCGATGGCAGACTAATAGCGGGAATATGCTACTATTAAGAGTATGGGGGAATGCGCGCTCGTCAAAGGGGTGAGCGAAGAATCGATCAACGAGGAGAAATGAATTTTATCAAGTGTGATACTGCAAGGTAAAATAAAATTTCGCTGCATTCCCGGGCAACAGTTGTTTAATCGATTGCATGCGAGAGGCTCTGCACACGCTTTTTGAACTTGAACCTTTCCCTACCATAGAATTGTTCAGAGATATCTATTTTTGTTCATTGTTCAGAGATATTTATTTTTTTCACTTGTACCTAAATACTTATTATGTATTCATGAATGCTTGTTTTTATATGTGAGGTGTATGTGTATTGTCCGTGATAATTGTAGCGCTGGCTGTAGATGTCGTTGATGGGGTACTGCTGATTTTTTTTCGTTTTTCATGCGTAGAAGAAAAATCGGACTTCGGTCGGCAGGATTTGAAAACCCGGATCCAGAACGTTCGTAACCTAAGGTGCTAACCACTTGGCTACCGTCGTCCGACAGAATTTAGTGTCGTGTGGCGGTATTTGTTGTCGAGTGCCGCCACAGTACCCCCTTACCAGTGATAACGTTTGTTCTTAGCGTGGTAAAGCGTCAGCCGATTGTTGTCAAGCCCGTGTAGATGTTGCGCGTTGTCTTCGATGTGGCGATGGATACCTGTCGGTACGGTGTGAGGCGTTCCGCGTACGGTCGTAGGCCTGCCCTGTTCCTCTTTTTAATACGACGGGCTGGTGGTGATGCTCATGAACTTTGTAATGGCTACATCACTCCTGGCTTGGTCATCGTCTCGTATTCTATCAGCTGCTTGCGTGGGTCGGCAGTGAGGCGTCGAGTTTTGCTGAAGGAAGGGCCGTTCCGTGTGCGTCGTAGCGGTAGATCCAGATTATCACAGTCTTAGATTCGCGATGATCGAAGTCTCGGGTAGCGCTATCACGATCACACCTGTTTTCGCTGTCGATCACGTAGGGCTCACCAATTTGATCAACATACCCCCGCTGCAGCCGTCGGAGATCACGGCGTGGTTCACGCTACTGAAGATGCAATTCGAGGACATGGATCTCACGGACGGCAAGCGAAAATTCCAGACCCTTGCCAGATGCCTCGGCGGTCCCGGTATCTATCACAATATCGAGGACGTGAGGACACCAGAGGTTGAGAACGGTACGTAAATTAAAAGGGTGAGATCATCCAAGAGAGCTGGCTGATACAGCCGGCACGAGCTCACACAGACTGCTGACCTCCGAAGAGATGGGCGACAAAAAGCCGTCCCAATTCTACCAACATTTAAGAAGACTAGCCAGTCCCTAAAAAGACTAGCCAGTCCCTCCATACCGAACCGATCTCCTCCTCACGCTCTGAAGAAGGCGACTCCCGGATTATGTCGACAACGCCCTGTGTCACAGTGGAGGACATAACGGCGTAGAGAAGCTGATGTAAGCAGCCGACCGGACCTACGAAACGCATTCATTGAGAATACAGAAAGTCATCGTCGTTATTAAAAGACTGAAACGACGAAGTTGCAGGAATCGTCGTAATCGGCTCGCACGTAAGAGTCCCACGACGCATCGTGAGCGATCATCGTCCGACGATTCTGGGGTGCAACTCCCTTTCTTTCAGTCTTAATAACGGTGACTTTCTGTGTTTTTAGTGAATGTGTTTTCGGAGATCCGGCCGGCCGCCTACGTCGACTTCTCCACGCCGGTATCCTCCCCGCT